CTCATTCGACACTTTTTTGTACGAAATGAACGAATCTGACAAAAAAAGGGTGACTATATATAGTTCCTACTTATAGATCTAACGCCATTTACGTTCAAACGCTTCCTGGGCAAGGCTGATTGTGAGTTCTAAAAAGAGTGTAGCAACCTTTCTGTGACCGGTTGTACCTACTGTGGTTCAAGCAACCACATAAATAGTTGTTCTGTATTTTACTATTTAATCCGATTGGCATGAACAGTATATTCTGTGTAAATTAACTACTACTACTGTTTTGATTTTCTTACATCTACATAATGATTCACGTTTCATATATTTAATTACATATTCGATCTACATCGCGGTGATAAAAAGGGTTTATCTAAAGAACTTAGATTATTTTACGCATGTCCATAATAAAAAAATAAATATCTTTAAAGGGATATTAATACTGAAAAATTTAGGATTTACCTTTTAACAGTGGCACAATCACCTCGTTCTGCGCTAAGCAGGAAATGTTTCTCGACCGGGCCAAGAATATAGTCAATATTATGTGTTTGTAACGATTGCACCGACGGTGGTCTTATCTCGTTAGATAGTAGATCCTGCTGAGACTCTGACGGATCCATTTTCTCTAATGCACCTCGAAAAGATATTTATACACACTGAACAAACAATGAAAGCTATTAAAATTATAAAATACTTGTCTCACTTAAAACGCTTTTATCTTGTAAAATTACAAACGCCCATGTCTAATTTTCATAATTTTGGAACTGAAATACACTGAATTCTGAAATTATCAAATGTTTTCATAAAATTAAATAAGACAACATTTTTCGCTACCCTTTCTCGACTTCGATCATTTTGTACGAAGGGATGTACTTACATGGCTTTTTAACATCGATGTCGATATGCTTGTGCGAAATATGCCAGACGTGAACTGTATAACGATCACATCTAGCTGTGCAATTCGACGAAACCTTACGATATTGTGTCAGGCGGATCAATCTTCAGGGTGCGGATTAAGTACGAGGGCGAGGTGCCGCGACTGAAAGAAAAGAACTCAGCCGGACTCACCAGAGATTTATTACATTGTCTAGTATTGTATGGCATTGGTGTTATCACAGGATATATGCGGATAGCGAGAACATGTTTCTCTTGCTATCTAATTCCCCAAATAATGGCTCGCGAGAGTTTTGTGACAGCGAATAGAGATTAAATCCGAAGTTTGTATGCCGCCAACGTGTTTTAGCTCATTCTTCTTCATATTTCCCGTCACTCATGTGATTGATTATTTATTTCCTCCTTCTCTGATGATATGGATTTATTACTGTATTTAGTGCGACGCATTCATAATAATTTAAAAAATAAATATAACAAGGAAAGACATAAAATTATTTACGAGGAACACGTGCAGTATGTTACATCGTGAATTTTTTTCTATGCCGCGATATATAAAAAAATATGTCCCACAAATTGCAACATAAAAATGTATATTTGCGAATTAAGATATCTATAATTACTATTATCCCTAAGATGGATAAACAAATCCTATAATAAATAAATAATTTTAATCTCCTTTAATAAAAAAGAGCATAGAAAATTTAAAGCAATAGAAGAAGAAATTATAAAACTTATCTTTTTTTTAAAAAGGAATACAAAAATATGAATTTCTGTATAGTATATAATACGTAATACAAATAAGTAAAATAAGCATAAAGTAATACAGAATGAAAACAATATGTAAATAGATATATAGGTCAATAATATAAAAAATAAGAAAAAGAGAGGAAATTCTCTCTCTCTCTCTCTCTCTCTCTCTCTCTCTCTCT